GCGAGACTTTCTACGGCAGAGAAAGGAACTCCGCCGCGAATCTCTTTAGACATGCACAAATGTGTTTATGATCTTGGAAAACACTCGTGTCTCCGCCGATGAAATTGGCTTGGAACCTGAGAGCTACCGTGTAGGTGTATCGAGTGTCTCAATGGTCGGGGTGCAGCTACAGACAGCGTGGAGTTTCACACGCATGAATTACTTATGTTTTGGTTCTTTTGTAGGAAACCGACGGACCACCAATTTCGTAATTATTCTCGTTATCGTATTCTCAACTTTTCATTGTCAGGCTACGTCAAAATATACATGTTAGAAGCATCAAGAGTCGCTGGCTTATGGTTTCTTTATGGTTCCAATTCGTCACGTGTAACCATAGTAACTGAACGACGGTCAAATGACCGGTTTTAACACGTGATTTAAAATTCTGCGTGTTCTTTCATTTATTTAACTTTTATTAATAATTAATCAGTTCATCGATTTCTGTCTTTTCTTTTGTCCTGTTTGCACTGAAAATAATTAATCTTCTGCTTTGTTTACTTTTATTTTGTAACTACCTACCTGACTGGTTACGGTAGGAAGAAGTCTATACAAAGTGCTGGTACGATCTTTGTTGCGATTTGTTTTATTTGCGATGAAGAGAAGTAACGAAGATCGCAAATGATACAAAATACGACGACATGATATATTACGATAGAGAATGAATATGGCCGTTAGTTGCTTATCTGTATTTCACTTCGTCGAATTCAGTTTAATTAACGATCTTTACATAAATCAACCAATAACAAAAACGGTCGAAACGGAGGCATCAAAGTTCATCGCGAGTGGTCGTGTTCCCTCGCTGCAGTTGCGTTCAGTTCGTAGGACAAGTGAACAATATACTGTCCACACATGATGATATCCCTTCACGTCTTCTTCGAACTGAAGAGTCAAGTGTGGCAAAGGGACACAGAACACAGTCTGACATAGTCGAAGAATAAATGTAAAGAGAAGGAGTGGGACAGACATAGTTCTCCAAGTATCGAGGATCAAGACACGGGACTTCAAAGTGATACCACACGCCTCAAATATAAACATGCAATGAAGGAAATACAAATTTCATTAATTTCGATCTTACATTCTGAAACGTAGTACCCAGTGACTTGTTGAAATTATTGTGATTAAAATAAGTCCAAACACATAAATTGGACTAACTTTATCGACTTTGAGAAAATGAACCTTTAATTGTATTAATTACGTTAAGTCAGTAAAACTAGTTCGAAAGACACGTGAACAGACGTAGTCTGTGGAGAGTATCATACGCCTTTCACGTTAGTTCCATCGGCCGCCAAGCTAAAAGTGCCCAGGGGCAAGGGGACTCTTCCACTCGTGAAGCTCGGCTCGCCTTAACCTTCGATAAGCGGTCATCATTGGCGCGCGGCAATAACAAAGGACGGAAGCAAGAACAACCGCGACAGAGTGAGACGGAACTATAGAGAATTTTCCTTTCTATCGTTACGTCTCACTTCATCGCATTTAGTTTCGCTTTCGTCTTTTGTTATTGCAATCATTATTGAATAACCATGCGTCGAAAGCCGAAACGGCCCAAGCATCATAAGTGGAAAAGTCCTCTTGCCCCTGTCCACTTTTAGCTTAAAGATCGGTGCAGCTACCGTGAAAGGCGAATATTATACACAAAGTAACTCTACGTTTAGTACCAACCAGTAACAAAGTACTCTCAAAACTGGCACGGGAAAACATGAGAAATAAAGAAAACTGATTACATAGAAGTTCAATCTAGCCATCTTCTGGCAGAATTATACAAAAGAAACTGGTTGTCCGAATGTTATTGCTTGCTCCGCGGGAGTACCGATGTTTCGCCGAGTGATTTACGAGACTGGCACACAGGGTCGCGGGGAAAGGGGCCGAGGAAAAGACTTTCCATTCCCGCGAGTCGCGTGAGACGGCCTCGCCACGGAAAGCACCCACCGCGGGAATATGAAAAATCGTGGGCGGGCGGTCGATTTCGCGGTGGTCCCGCGGCGATCAGCTGATTGGTCGCAGATGACCCAGGGTCAATCTACTTTCTACTTCCCGCGTTCAACGGAAATCAATCGACGAGCATCTGTCGAGAGGGAAGAGGATAGGACCACGACGTTTTCCTCCCTTCTACGCGGTTGGAAACCGAGCTCACTTTCTCGCGACGATACCAGCAATATACATATCGTTCGGACGATCGGGATGCTGATGAGTGAAAACGAACGAAGGCGATGAATAAAACAGTCCCCCGGCGAACGTTCGTCGCGGGAATCTCTAGAGACGCTGGAAAATGTTCCCCTTATCGTGAGAAGAGATCTCGTGGGCCTCCAGCGTAGAAAGAGCTAGCCAATTTTTATTTCTCCATTTTTTCCTGACCTACCGCGCCGGTATACTCGAACGTGTCGCCGGAGCAATTAAAATTAACGGGTCGGTGACCTAAATTTTTGGATAAGAATCTGGTTTAGACATCATTCTTCGTGGTTTCCGCGTTCAGATATTAACTAGGATGTTATGGATCGTTAACGCCGATTTTTAGGCAGTTTCGGTGTATTAAAATTAACAGGTTGACGACCCAAATTTTCGAATGAGAGTCCGGTTCAGATTTAATTCGTCGTTCTTTCTGTGTTCAGGCAGACTCTCGTGTTCAGTTTGATTTAATTTATGGAATTTTATGGATCGTTAACTGTGATATTGAAATTAACACAGTAGTAACGTGGCGAAAATAACACAGAAAGTAAACATAATATTTGAAGAAGTGAATTAATCGGAGTATCAATTTATTTCAAAATTTGCCTGAAAATTTATTTCAAAATTTATCTCAAAACTTATTTCAAAACTTATTTCAAAATTTATTTCAAAATTGATTTTAAAACTTATTTCAATATTTATTTCAAGATTTATCGTAACTTCAAAGTGATCGCATTCTGCTGATGTTGAACCGTGATCCCCTATCACCGAGCGTTACATCGAAACTATTTCGTCGAGGATCGACGCCGATCGCCGGAACAAGTTCCGTTGCCCGGCGGAACCGCGCCCGCGCGAATTTGTATTTGCCCGCGATTCGGCCGACAATCACATTGTAACGCAGCACGGGGAAAACGAGCAATCGCTGCGGGAACATGAAAGTTCCGCGTTAAGTTGGTCACGCGAGTGCGCCGGCATGTAGTTAGAGGCACGCTTAATGACCGTCCGGGAAGATCTACGCTACATGACACAGTTTGCCGTCGTCTATGCGCCGGTTGGCGACGATCCGCGTGATTTCTGCGTGATTTCTGCGCGGCGCACACCAATTTCAAGTCTCGTCGTCCGCCGAGTTTTTTCTCGATCGCTATTCTCTCGTGTCTTCAACAAGCAATTACACGGAGACTGGTTTTTCTATGAATAAACGCTCCGCGGACGAAACGAACTTTATTTTTACTTCAATTTCATTTTCCGCGATCCAATCTCTGGGAACTGCGCGACGGAAGATTCCGATGCAACTGTTGATTGGGAATCACGACGTGATTAACGCGATTAACGATTCAAACGACGGACTTCGAGGACTCGCGGTACACGCGAACGTGTGAAATGGCGTTCCCACGATGCTTGCATTAATAAATCTCTTCGTCCGTCAAAAAAGTTATCGCTCCGGTTTAATCGCGGTGAATTAATCTGTCGGACTCAGCGCTTCTACAAAAATTCGAATCACCGATCGAACTGGTTCCGACATGCCGCTATCGCGGCTGGACGCGGTACTTTTCGATCCTGCGATCACTTACGATAGGAAAAACTAATCCCACAATCCCCACGAAGCTATTATCTCGTATCGTTTCTTACCGCACAGCGGAAAGGCCGTGTCGCGTAATAATCAAATTAATAGAGAAAGCGGTAATAATCTGGTTCGACGAGTCGCGATGCGACAAAAAAAAACCGACGGAAGGGAACGGACAAAAAGGGAAAAGAGAAAAGCACGCGGTTCCATGGAAACTGGTTCCACTGTCAGTAGAGTCGATGCTTCGAAGAGCTGAAAGATTCTAATTACTCGAGGTTTTCGGCAGTGAAATTACTATCCAGTTGATCGATTAACACTTTAACTACTGCGTCATATGAATTCGGGTGACACTGTTTTCTCCATAAACTTAAACATTAATTTTCTTGCTGATACATCGATTAAACCGAATTTGTTCGGATGCGTGAGATATAAGAGAGGTAATAGAGCGATTGTTATGAAGAATCTTGATTTCTTAGTTTCTGCGTTATTAAGAAAACTGTTTCAACTGCATATGAGTTTCAATAAATGTTCACTTGGCAGTCAAAGTATTAAAAACGACTGGTGATCACTAATCTCCGAATCCTTATATAAATTCAAATTTCGAAAATTACCATTGGAAAAACAGAATTGTGATACAAAACGGTTGTTCCTAATGAACACTACAAACATCACCACATTTTGGACATTCCATGTATCTTCCCAGATTGCATCGAGTTTCCCATAAATACACATAAATTTGCAGTCTAGTAATCGCTAATCCGGAACACGAGCACGAATAGCTCATCACCGTCGCGACCAGCGTAACATACTTGTAACGCTTTCGCGTCTTGCGTAAAGGAAATTAAATTACTTTCACGTGTTTTCATTTGAAACGTATTATCCATTAATGTAAGGTTTATTTGATTTAATATACTGTTATATGTAGAAAGTTGACGAGATTGTTATCTTAAATTTCATTTGCATTTTATAAAGTCGATTTGTTGCGTTTAATGAAATATCGTAATTAAGGAAAGACTGCCACTGAAATAAATGGTGGTTGCGAACGGGTTATTCAGAACATTTTCCCAAACCTGCGCCAGTATTGATGCGTTTGTCTTAACGAAGCCGGCTGCAATTACGAAACGTTCAGAAATTACTGGACACGGCTTACTCCCGAAAGCCTGGAATAACTTGTCCCCGTATCGATTACGCCACCGATCGTCGCCTATAATACCCGCTGCGGACCTGCTTTCAGGGAGTGGCCAGCATTCCGGACTGTAAAGATCAGCGGGCCCGCGATGAATGGAACGCTTTAGGAACGACGAGCCGGAAAATGGACGTCGCGAAGTGTGCCACGGAGGATTTCGTCACGGTGGTCAATGTCGAGGGCCAGCAGCCACCGCCGGAGAATTTCGTCACCGTGCTGTCAATTGGCAGCGGGAAGAAGGAGGACGAGCTGCCCCCGCAACCGACGCCGTGCTCTCCGAAAGCCCAGACGAATGGGCTCGAAGGACACCTCGAGGAAGAGGTCGAGGTGTTCAGGCTGCCCGGTGAACGGCTCGGGTTCGGCTTGAAGTTCGAGGGCGGTAACAAGACTTCGGAGAGGGTCAGGAAACTGTTCGTGCAGAGCTGCGCGGAGCAGAGCCCAGCTAGCAGGGCCAAGTGCTCTTGGGGCACTCTGGGAGAGGGTGACGAGGTAAGCCGGATGAATCTCATGATTCTTTCTTATGAATAGTTTGTAGTTGATGGTTGTATCACGGATACGCGAGGAATAAGTCATCGAGTTTAATCCATTCGCTGCTAATCAGGAATACACTCGTGGTTAGGAAGGTGTAAAATTGCTACCATGAGTATGATAGTCGTTACTGTATTTGAAAATACAAATAAAACCACATATTGTACGTTGGTAGCGAATGCGTTAAAGATTTATCATTGTTACGAATGAGTAAGTACTATTCTATAGTGTTCAAAACCCTCATAGACATCTCAACTTCAGATGCAAACAGATGTCTATTCCAGTTTGATTTAGGTATCGTTGGCACGCTAACTGCCGAATGAAATTTTCATTGATATCGAGGAATGGTTCCGTGATACTAATTCATCGAGTTCTTCGATTACCCTAACTGTAAGCTCCGACACGACATCGATACCGAATGGACGCTGTACTTGGCCCAGTTGCATGTGACCAGTACATTCCAGTCGTTCCAGTCAATGACGAAAAGAGAAATGACAGACCAGAAATTCCAACGCGCGAGCATTTTAATTAGACGGAAGGGAGAGAAACTGTCACGCGACCGGTCACGGAACCGCCTATAATTTTCGAGACCCACTTCCTGCGTTACAATTCTCAAGTGCGCCGGACACGACGCGGCGTGGCTCGGCTCGGCTCGGCAGTTTGTTTATAGCACGGGTAGCCTGGCAAGAAACAAGCCGGTCGTGTCTCACGTGTGCGACACCGGTAACGATACCGCGTCTCTTTTCCAGGTACTCTCGATCGACGGTGTACCAGTGACACACATGACTAGGCTGGATTGCGTGAGGCGATTGAAGGAGTCTCAGTTGGTTATCAAGCTAATGGTTAGATGTAGGGGACCGCTAAGGCCTGAAGTGGTCAGCGCTGAGAAAAAGACCGGCACACCGGAGAAGATCAAAGTGCCCCCGGAACTGCCATCGGCGCCGCCGCCGGTACCTCCGCGAAAGCTACGTCAAGCTCGGGGCCTGGCCGACGGCGAAGCCAATCCCAGTCCTGTCAAAAAATCCTGGAACGGGTCCAGGTCCCAGAGCAGCGGCTCGCAGAACAGCTCGCCTGGCTCGCAGCCTGTCAGCCCACTGGACAGCAAGTCCAGTATCTACGAGAGTTGCGAGTCCTCACCAAAGAGCTCGAATGGATCGAGTCAAGGAACACCGAAAGGGTCGCCTAAAGAACGTTCGCCGGAGCTTGCAAAATCGAAACAGGTTACGATATTTTCAACTGCGTCAGGTTGTATAACGAAGTTCTAGCATTTTCGATTAAACGATTTTGACAGTGCCATCTGTATTGTTTTGTTAACGTTTATGCCTAGTACTAGGAAAGATTGCAGAATCAGGCACAGTTGTTGAGTTAACGAAAATGCGAAAGTTTCGTTTGCAATGTGATATCGGATCGAGTTAGAAGTCTTCTTATGTTGTTGCTAAATAAATTGAATGTTGACTGTCGTGTATAAAACTTGATTTAATATATAGGGAAAACTAGGGGAAACGAAAACGGAAAAAACACTTGAGAAGACTTTTCAACCGATCCTATTATCCCAACCGGAACCATCGAATCGCACTGAACTAACGATCCGCACAATTACAGGAACCTCCGGAAGCGATGGTTTACCTGGACGCTAGATCGCAATGCGGCTCAACGCACGGAAGCACGTCCGACGACACAGGAAGTTCAATGTCCACGGTGATCGACCGATTCTCCACGTCGGACCGCGTGTCCACCATCTCCACGGCATCGACAGCTTCGACAACGTCCGAGCAACAAAACGATTTGCTACGAACCGATCCCGAATTCGATCGAACTTCCGACCGGGACTACCAATTGTCTAAAGCGATCTGCCCGTTCGAGAACTTCGACGCTGATTACCCGTCCACGCCTCCCGACTACCTGCTGCGCCGGCTGGCCAGCTCAGAAGCGGTGACCCATGTAGAGTCCCGCGGGGAAGTCGAGAGGATCACTGCTGTGGTAGCGCCCAACACTGTGCTGATTGAGGAGACAATCACGTTCCAGCCACCTTTGAGCTTCCAAGATGCTCCTTTGAGCTATGGACACGAAGCTCGACCCGACCTCTTCTACACGGCTGACCTGGCAGCTGATTCCACCACCCATTTCAAGCCTATCAAAGATGACGTGGAGCTCGTGGAACGCGTGAACGGTGGCCACGAAGACTACCTATCACCTGAGTGCTCCCCCGAAAAGCCGAAAGAAGCGATTCGCGCGGAAAGAGGATCTGATAGAACACCTCCACCCTTGCCAGCCAGGAACCACGTCAACAGGATCAATGTTAATCAGTCTGCTAGCGATAGGTCCATCGAGATCAATGACCGCCAATGCCAGACCGACCGCCAACAGAAACCTTCCGAATCTTCTGGCAACACTGCGATCGGAGATAATCAGCAGGATGCACCTGTCCTGCCGCCCAAACCGTTGCCCAGAAGGGACGTCAAGGTTAGACGCAAGAGACCACCCCCTCCGCCTCCTCCGCCGATTACACCGCGGTCTGAGACCAAACCAGTTGCCCTGGCCGAGAAGCAAACAAGTTTAGAGAAGGAGGAACCAACGAGTGCAAAGGTCGACGTTCCCCCCTTGAAAACGGAGGACGCTGGCATAGGGCAAACGGAAGAGCTGTCGAAAACCTTGGAAGAGGGCGAGGCAGAGAATTCGATGTCCAATAACGCTGGAACTGAGAATGAGCTAGAAAAAAAGAGGATAGAGGAGGTGGAGGATTCGGAGTCCACCGATAGTTACGATGTTCTAGATGATGATGGTCCTAGGACGAACAAGGTGTTCGAGATAATAGAAATAAGGAAGGCTAAAGCGTTCCCGTCACAGAGGGCGGTTCCCTTGGCAAGGAAAGAGGAAGAAGAGGCCAAGGGCAGGTCGGGTTTCGCGAAGGAAACTGAGAGGATCGTTAATGGGGATCCAGAGAGGATCAAGCTGGGATTGGGCAAAGGCAATGAGAGGCCTAAGCCGGAACTCAGGACGGCTGTGAAGATTTCGAGGGAGGTGGATGAGTCGGAGGACAGCGACGAAGCTACCACAAGATTTAACGAGCCCGATGACAAATCTTATGATAGGCAATCGATTGAAGACGAAAGTTCTGATCGCGGTGAGGCTGACTCACCTATCAACGATGAATTGTTTGGGGGACAGGAAGATGACGCGGATGACGATTATAGGACTTTGAACGATATCAATCGTAATGTATGCGGTTTGAGGGGAAACAGAGGGAGGAATGAAAAAGAGAGCATCGATGAGGATGACACGAGCGACGAAAGCGACGACGACTACTACTGGCAAAGCAACTTGGCTACGATCGGCGAGGAAGAGGAAACGAACTCGCTTGAGTATGCCACTGCGTAAGTTTCCATCCTCATTGCTTGCAAGTTGGTGAACTGAGTATGGACTCGATTGCAATGTTTATCGGCACATACGATGCGCTCTACTCTCTTTTTGTGTGGTTTAGCTTAAAGGTGGATAATGCTGTTGTTATTCTGAATGTATAACGAACGAAGAAATCTTGTAAAATTCTTGCAAATCGATTTGAACCAATAATTGGTACTCATTTTATACAAATTTACTTACACTCTATCCCCATCGCGTGAAAAGAGAGAACGTGCACGATAAAATGCAGAGGTTAATGAAGGTTCAGGAAATTTTTCATCTCATTTATGATCAGTAGAGATCCTCCCTTACTTAAGTGCAATGTATGAATTACCAATTAATGCAAGTGGAGTAAAGAGAAATTTATCCCCAAGGAAATTAACTTGAAAATCGAATCCAACGCATTCAATGTCGATCTCACTAAAAACCAGAGTGATGAACAATATTATTCCATACTTTCGTCTTATCTTCGTGCGAATAATCACATTGTGCTTAGCGAAACTACCAGTTATAAGACACCGTGTAGATCCCAAGCCACTGCTATCTACCCAATCTCCAATCTCCTCGATTCAACATAGGAAAGCTCCACTCATAGATAAAAACGAATCTCGGCGACCTCGATCCGCGGCGATAAACTAATCTTTCGCATCGGTATGTCAGCGAGCTGTTTCTCATTCGCGCGGTCCCCAATTAGGCACGCGCGGACTTTCTGAACAGTCTCGGGGGAACCTGGCGAGCCGCAGCGTCCACCGATTCTTAAACAAGAACATGCTTGCCGGCGACCAGCGATAAGAGACTTTTTCGGCGATGCGACAATATCTTTGGCCAACGCGCGGTTCGTCCCGGCGGGACCAGTTCTCAAAAGACAGGATAAAAGAGGTGACGTTAATACGCGACGCGGCGATCCGCCACGAGATACCTCGCCCAGCTACTTTATTCCTCCGGAAACTGGTACCCCTTCACGGAGCCTATCAAAGTGTACCATCTGCGCGATTTTACTGGAATACGCTCTTCTCAGACTGATCTACCATCCGGTTCCTTGCTCAAATGCGCAAGATCGTTTCACCCAATTTTGAAAGTAATTTCTGTGATAACTGTTCGAGGACAAGAGTTCGGGGATTGTGACAAAATTGGGGGACTTAAGAAGAAAGTGTCTGGATTGATTAGATATTAAGACCTCTGAATAAATGTTGGGGCAAAGGTTGCAGTGATTATTAAAGAATTCTAGAGTTTACTATAATATTGTAAAGTCATAAGCATTCGTAGAGCTTGAAATACACTCTATATCCCATTAGAGGATTGATAGACTTGTGACAAACATTCAGACATACTGGGAAATATTAATGCTTCTTAAGATTGTAGAATTTACCATGATATTACAAACACTACGCGGTGATATTAGAAATTACAAGATATTCTAGGTCCCGTTAGAAGATTGATAAATTTTTGACAAACTTTTAAGAATACTAAAAAATGTTAATGCCTCTAAGTTAATGCTCGAACCTAAAGAAAAACTCTATAGCCTGTAAGAACACGATTAACCGGTAAAAAGGAGTCACAATAATTTTTCAATGTGATGTGCAAGGAAAGGGATGGAGAGTTAAATGCAAGATTGCCTGGGGCCTGCGAATAACACGATGCGGCCCTGCAAGTGGGCATAGATTTACAGTACATTAACACTTTGACGACCGCGCATTTAAGGCAAGTATACTCGCATACCGGCGGCGCCTCCCGCGTAGGCCTCGCCATCCGCCCGCGGCGCTTTTCGCACAGTCGTTCCCAGAGGAAAAATCGGCATACAGGGTGGAGCAGTGAAATGGGAACACCTAAGCATTTTATTCGCCAGCTATTTTATGCCCCATCAATATCTTCCTCCTTGCATTAATGAACACGCCCGAGTTTCGTACTAACCGCGCGCATTAATAAATACATCGATTACGGAGTAATATATGAAAAAAAGGAATTCAGCCTCGACGTCTTAACGTTTCGATAAATACATAGCCTATGTCACTTTCAACTAAACGAGATGGACCCAAGTGATTACTAATGGGGACATGGTCGCTAATGTCGCTAAAATCCTTGGTCGTTAATCGTTGGCTCCCAAGAGATCATTAAATAACCACCGGTAGTTAAGCCATGAATTTTCGCCGAGATAAAAAGAAATATCGCTGCGATGTCGACAGACGAAAGTAGGCAAAGACGAAGTCACGCGAACGGGAAAAGAGGCCGTTGAAACGTTTAACCGCGTCTAGGGAAGGGCGGCGAGTCACTGTCCGCGACGTATTTCTTCACCCTTCGCTTACAAGGATTATTAGAAGCATTAAAAATCTAAATGGATTCATTTGAAGCTGAATTGAATATCGAATTCTTAACTCCTTGCACTCGAGAGGTGATTGTCGTTGGGATTCGATATAGCAAAATTATGAAGTCTTCACATAATATTAAACTTCGTATCAATATGTGAAATTTGGAAACAAAATACCTCAGTTTCTAAATTGATGTACATCTCATTAGAAAACCTTGAATATTTCCATTGAAGAACTTCCGAGCGCAAAAGGTTAAGCACTAGAAAGCAAGAAAACTACGTACGAACCATTCATCGTTCGACTAATGAAATTCATCATTGCAACTTCCCTCTTCTGAAAGGCAACTCTCAACGCAGCGAATGTGGCAACAACATTCGCCCTGAAAGGGTTAATTGTAAGCAAATTACCTTTTTTCCGTCGGAATTTCCCCGGGCACGGCCCGGCACGGCCAGGCCCATCCGAGTCGGATGCCTGTGAACGATTTACGGTTGCAAAACGGTCTCTTATATACGTATTTATAGCGCGGCCGTGGCCACGCCTGCTCGATCCCAGCGCGGATCCGGCGGAGCCGAGGTTCGGCGGGACGGCACTCGCGGCCCAGGAATTCCGGCTTTTTGTGATAATTTTCAAGCGCACCGACCGCTTTGAAACCTGTACTTGAACGGTCCACGGAGATTATGCACGCAACATGCCGGCTCCGGCTGATTCGCGAAAAATAAACTGAGAAAAGGAAAAAAACAGGGCGGGAGGATCGAGAGCGGGGCGATTAGCATTCCGGAACATCCCCGCGAATCCGAGCGCGCGTTGCCTAAGTGAAAGAGTGAAATTTCAGAGGGCTGTGGTTAAGCCGGCTAATGGTACGCTCCGGCGCCGTTTCGGAAATTTCAATCGCTCCCCTGCACGGATATCTGGGTCATATCCAGCGCGCGGCGCGGCGTCCCGATCCGGAGCAAAAAGTTAATTGACCACTTAGGGGCTGGCGGCCGCGGGAACGGCCCCGGGACTCGTGGAAATCGAGTAACGCGATCGGGGATCGAGCCACCCTGCAGCTCGCGTGCGACCCGCATTTAATCCCTGCCTCGTCTGCTCAGGGTTCAACTCAACACACATTGTTTGCATTCGTTTTACACGAAAAAGAACCTTGTTCTCGTTCTGTTCCTTCGTCTTCGTGTGGATGAATGCTTGATAGTAACGTTTAGATATTGTAACTGATCTCTTTTTACATTTCTATTTAACGTCGCATCAACTGCTATATAATTATTGACTATAACTTAATGATGTGTGTAAGAAAACTACTAATTTTCTAATTAGATTGTAAAGTTGATTTGAAATTGATTGCCGGTTCTCTTTGGGTTTTAGACACAACGGAGCCAGCGACGACACGAGCCCCACGGACGAATCTAACTGCCTGGACTCGCCAACTGGCAAGGACACATTCATCACGAATGGTGAGTCTTGGGGTAGCTTAACCCCTTGCCTTATGATGGATTTATTAACTATCCTCGGTATAACTACTTTATCGCGAACAGTTTATTATAGAAAAGAAACAATTTTTATGTTTATTCTACGTTTACGTTTGCTACAGAGGTTAACAGTTGCTAATAGGAAAGTAATATTTAATTTAGACTTATAAAAACTAAATGACACGTACATTTCTCAGATTCAATTTGCAATTTTCGTCACGAATCTGACACGATATCGTGGTTCAAGAGGTTAAAATTAAAAGACGCAAGTGAATCAGAATTTGAAGTCGGTCTTCTAAATTACTTGAAGAAATTGAGAATAGGTTGTTACATCCTATCAAGAATATGTTAATGTTCTCAGAATTGTCTTAAAGGAATGAAAGATAACAGTTGATCGACAGTCTGAGAGTAAACAGAGTGATTAAATCGATAAGACGTTAGAACGAACGACGGGGTTAAAAAGATGAGATTGGTACCGGGTGAAAAACGATCCAAAGGCTGCGAGACGCAGTCGGAAGGACGAGGGAGCATACTAATTGTGTCTCGTAACGCTCGTTGAAGGGATCGCGTGCGAGAATTGACACCGCCGCGGCAAAAACGCAATTATTGTGTTCGCCATCGCCATTACTCTTATCTTAATTCGACTGTCCGAACCGTCGGGAAGTTCGCGCGTGCTGAACAAATTAAAACGCGTCGTTCGAGGTCAATAGAAAATAATTACCGCCGCCTGGGGGGCCAATTAAACCACTCGCGAATCAGTCGTTCACGTCCATTAGGCGTAGTGCGCAAAAATGTTAGCGCCGCGCGCGCGCGCACGAGCGCTCGTGAGCCAACCCGACGATCCCAGCGACCTTGAATCCTCGTTAATTTCCACGAGGAACGTGCCTCGTTCGCTTGTCAGGTTTCTCGGCGCTTGGCTCGCTCGTTCACTCGTTCGCTCGCGATGTCTTCGGTTCTGAGCGATCATCGATCGTTTCTAGAACTCGATTGTACGGGAACTTTGTTTCCGGTAAATCGGAGTTCGGTCGAAACTGCGCCATTCCATATTCACCGAGCTCCTATTAACCTCATTTCGTGAATCGCGATGAGAACTGATACGCATTGCGATCGGTTCTGTCGATTGGTAATTATTTTATTATTTGATACGCACCCATTTTTCGCGTGCCAATCTTCTCGAATGAGAACGGAACTGTCGTTTCTTTTATATCTCAGACTTCTTACTTTTATTCGCAGTTTTCTTATAGAACAGTTTCTAATTCAAGCATGTTGTATGTAAGCTTTAATTATTTGAGCTACCACAGATAACTGATGCTTAGCGAACAGCCGTCTCATCAAGTTCGGGACAGAATTTGAATTTGTAATATTTTCTAAAATCAAATACGATTCGATGTTGAGTTCTCTGTAACCTGTGGGAAACGTTTCGATGATAGATCGATTAGAAACATAAAGAATCAACATAGAAAAGATTGATACAGAAATATTAGAATCCACGGCTCGATTTTACCATAGATCGGTACTTCGTCCGGAAGCAGAGATCTAAGGGATATGTCAAGGATTGCTATTTATGAGATGCACTCAGCGTTAACCTCTTCCACTTCAATTTATTTACAGACGATCGCGCCAAGACATACAATTTAATCTTAGTGAAATATGTTGTCTGTATGTTAATTTGTACGTCAATGCAACTGCCTTGATATTTTACTGTCCACGCAACCAGTCTGTTCTTATTGTACATTTTTATAAGTCGCAGAATTCTATAGGGAATTCTGTTCTCCGCACTCCGCCGCGGAAAGCTTGCAACGTGACACTCCGGTGCAAGAGGTTAAACGTAGATTTATGGACGCTATTATGTGACATCTATTAACATGTCGACTCTATCCGACGCGTACACGCGTTTCTGACTTCTGACACTATGCAGTGTGATGTACTTCGTGGATTTCCTCTGAAAGTTGATCTCGAATGCAGAAGATCATAAATACGGCGAACAATACGATTATTCGTGATATATCTAGACAGTGGGTTTTCTATGCAAACACAGCTCTTTACGAAGCAATTAAAGAACACGGAGTGGTATAGCAATTAGTTTTTTTTTACAGCTTGGAATTTCTAAAAATTGCATTCGAATTTCGATCAACTTCGACAAATGTTCCTTTCCCCAGGAAAAACATCTTTCAAATGAATCAACCTAGCAAACCCCAAAATTCCTTAATTTATAATCTAGACATCACCTCTATCTTCTAATCAAAATTCTTACAATCCACAAAAGTTCTCCGGTAATTAACGCATCGTCCTTAACCACCAATCGTCCCAAATGAAAACAGAACAATCCTCGAAGGAATCAATCCTCAACAGAAGAATCGTTCAAAGCAAAAACAGCAAAATCTTTCAATGCAACTTCTCCAAACATTCTCAATTAATTGATCCAACATCGCCAAACATCTGCATCGATAGACGCATCTCCGCGTCTTTGTCTCGGTCGTTCTCCGTCGAAACAAGAGTGAAGGAATGGAACAACGGCCGATGGCGGCCGAGGCGATTCCATTGAACCCGGCTGCGAGGGTTCAATCGCGGGCCGACACACCGATGGAATTCTCCGCGCGGGGAACGCGCTCGGTGCACGCACGCCCACACGCGACCCGCGTCGCGCTTCATAAAGGTTACGCATTAATCTCGGTGCGTTACGCGCCGCTAAGGTTCTCCGGTTTCGCGCGTGCACGCCAGCGAGCATTCAAAACGGAGGCAGTCAGCCAGCCAGCCAGCCAAAGCCAGCGATCGCAGAGCCCGCAGAACGAAAGACAAAGGCGTTGTTCGCTCGCTGGCGCACCTTCTTGCCCAGGAATTCCGGTTCGCCCCGATACACACGACCAATGGATCTACGATCATTGTCCGCCAAAGATGGATCGCGACTCACGTGGGAAATCTGAATAGCACGATCGTCTCGCGGCTCGCGACAGCGCCGTCCTCTAAAAATACTCCCGTAGGTGGTCGACGAACGATACACCGCGAAACGAACGCGCGGAAGCTGCTTGTTAACAGCAATCAAATTACCAGTACAACAGCGCAACAATAACGGTAATAAAGTTAACAGTAATTCCGGTATCACACTGGGTATATTGGTCTACACGAAGACACGATACTAATAGATTAACTTCGATCACTGCTCCGTAACAAGACTGAACTTTCATTCGGCTTAGTATCGGGTTCCCGATTCGCGAAGGACTGTTTCTTCCACAACGAGCCAATCATCATTTTCGTCGGTTATTATTTCATTATCATTTTCTTCCACTTCGTGTGCAGCTAAGTTAACTCAGAGACAGCTACGGGCAGCATCCAATCATTCTAAATCATCAATAGATCGTAGCTACTTCCGTAACAAGAGAGGAAAAGTATGGTTTCCACGTAATCCAGCGCGCCCCGATAGACCTTTCTAATTGGCAGCTGATAAATTGCAACCGGTGGATCGAAATTAAGCGTATCTGAGCCCGGACGAAGCTCGACGTTAGGAAATTTGCGGGATGTTTCGGTGTAAACGAGGCCCATTTGTTTACGCGGCCGAGATAAGGAGCGGCGCTGCCCGATAGAGAAAAGGCTCGCGGTAATTGCCGCGGCTGGATGTACCGGATGTCGATTATCGTGGGCGTATGCGAACACGCGTGCGCCTCGCTTGCTCTCGAGGAGGATCATTTACACTCGGTGCCTTATTACGAGCGGCGTCGTGATCTAGTAAATGTACAGCCGGGAGTTTTCGCACCTCACGCTCTTTCGTGCCTCGTCGAACGTACACATCGTATTTCAGGCCCGCGTTAACACAGCGGACGTTAAGGGGAAAACTGAAAGAGCGGGCCGCTCCGCGCGGCTTCTAAACGCGGACTCGGACGTTTCATTTATTATCGAACCTCCGACGGAGTGAAGCGGCTCGTAACCTTCCCTCTTGCTCCCGCCGTCCGTTTGCCCCCCTTTCTCCCTGCACGGGGGATCCAGGGCCGTCTCAGGCAATAGGCTTCCTCTGGTACTGAGATTAGAGTCCACGGAAAATTGTTGTTCACGTGGTTTAGGGTTAACGTATAATTTTAATCGGGGAATAATTCAATTTGACTTCATTCACAGACAACTGCAACTGCGAAGGTTCTCAGGTATTACCAAGAAATTACTGGTAGATTTCAAAATCGACTGGAGTGCTTAACAGATTAATGAAGGTATTCGTTGAACTGTGGTAACATTAGGTGACTTCAATGCAAACCTTATACTGACTTGTGAATAGTTTTGTGTCTCAAGGAATCAACATTTCATTCGCGAACTGTTGTTCAGCGTTCAGAATGAAATTCCTAAGTATTACAATAAAATCTCGACTATACGAAACCATTCGTAAATCCTAATAACTCTAGTCCCCCTACAGTTTAAAGATGACAGGTTAATGAAATTAAGAAGAGAATACAGAGATCAACGACAGGTGACTAGGACAACTGAGCAACGTGTCTTGCTGGAAAACTTAAAGGAAGTCGAGAGGGAACGATAACCGGGATGCGGCCCTGAAGGATCGAGCTGCTCCGACGCGGGGATCGTTAAGTTCTGCTGGGAAAGTGGTTTTCAGGGGACTCGAGGCGGTCGACGTTCGCGTTGGTAGTGGAAATGGTCGCCGCCGGAGCAGACGGGTTTCGAGTTCCGCGGTCTCGCCCGCCCGCGGTTTCGAAACGACCGGAGCCGGCGAAAGATCAGCCGGGCCCGACGAACGGGAAATAAGGAAACTCCTTTCGATCGCTAATCAGCGCGCGCACCACTCCTCGAAAGTGGATGCTCGCGTTCGCGCCGGCTCGCCGCGGCCGGGTGGGTGTGAGAACGGAACCGTTAAGTATCATTGAAGAAGCTGTGGGGGCGAGGCCATGGTAGACGCCGCTGCTCCCGCCCAGGTAGCTCTCTCGCGGTTTATACCGGTCTGCGGAGGACCCGGGCTTCGAAGATCCTATTAAACGCGAAACTTTACGAGC